TGGTGTTTGTAAATAGGATCACAAGTCCGCATCTTGTACAGCAATTAACCACTAAGAAGAATATATGCAGTGTATTATTTGTTGAAACTGTCCTTCCGATTTGATTTGAAACTGTCTCATTGCTATCTGTTTGTCAATAAAATTTTGAAAAAAAAAAAAAAGATATTATGTCTGCATCTTGTACAACACATAACCACTAGGTAGACAGTATGCAATGTATTAATTATTGAAACTGTTCTACCAGTTTGATTTGAAACAGTCTCATTGCTATTTATTTCTCAATATAATTATGGAAACAATAAAATAAAATGTTTTTGAGTTAAAAAAAAAAAAAGGAAGAGCTTGTGTAGGCAGCCAGGGACGTTTGCGTTTTTCCATACACCCCAAAAATACATTTCTGTATGGAAGAGAATACAATTACCCTGATCTTGGGGTGCCTTTTAAGATATTCTGACCAAAGCTGACTTAAAGGAGCCTGAAATGGAAAGAAGTCACCCCCATTTTGTTCACAAGGCGGTAGAAAATAATAGTACTACACACACGGATGCAAGCACGTGCCTTGCATTCTTTGTTTTGTTATTGGCTTCATGGTCTCACTACACACTTCAGACTCATAATAATCCTCCCGTCCCAGCCTCCTCAGCGCTGGGGTGGCAGGCGTGCATCCCCACCCCTGTTTCAGGGATGGGACCGCATGTGGACCGGGGCTAGCACCTAGGTCCTGGCGCTTGCAAGGCAAGCATTTAGCCGCCGAGCTGATCCTTCTGTTCATGAGCGTGATGACTGGGTGTTCATGCCTTATGCATGAGATATGCCACCCTCAAACCTGGTTACGACGTGGGCATATTACCTGTCTGACATGAAGGAAAAAAAAAAAAATGACCACTGAGCCATCTCCACCATCCCATTTGCCTTGCGTTTCAGGACAGCAGTTACAGTTCTATTTAGTATACTTCGTATTCAGGAAACCAAGAAAATATGCAAATAATTGTGAGTGCTAGCAGGAAATAGCCCTTCAATCTGTACTAATGTTAATAATTTTCTGTTTAACCAGCAGAAAATAATTACACCCTTCAGAGCGGCACGAAAATAATGTACAGCAGTGGAGACGCCAACGTTTGGGTGCCCATCGTTGGGTTGGTCCCTTTCAGTAACTACACCGTACAGGTGAACGCTTCCAACAGCCGAGGCAGCCTGATCAGTGACCCTGTAAGCATCGCCACGCCTCCAGGCCGTAAGTTCTTAAAAAATGCTGGTCCCTGTGCCCCAGGGCCAAGTCACCAAGGAACACTTGGTGCGCTGTTGGAATTAATGCTTATTTTCAGCATTCCGAGGCGCAGTTGCATTTCTGGTTGCTGGGTGGTTTGGTTTGGTTGTATGGAGGCGCTTTCAGCAACATCCTCCCATTGGTTGGTGCGATTGCTTTCATCTTGGGCCGTGGTGTAGACCCGTGCGTGCGTGCGTACCCGATCTCTGGCTTGCTGCCTGTTAAGAAGGTTGGAAGAAGCTGATTTTTTTAAGACTTCACCTACATTCAAAGCTTATATTCTTTATGTTTCAGCTTTGGTTTTCTACTCTAAATGGTTCTTTGTTCATGTTCTCTGAAGAGCTACTTTAGGTGTCTGCTTAAGGATTTTTGCTTAATGTAAAGGACAGCGTGAAATAGGAGAGCTCTGCTGGTGCCTCTGCATCATAAATGTAGACTCCACATCCGGGTTATTATGCCCTAAGAGTGTTTCTTTCCATGGTGTGCAGTCTGGATATGCTTTGCTATTCTATTCTGTTCTGTTCTAATTTGGCCCAGCTTTTTGAGAATTATCACAATTGTCATTACTTTTTTTTTTTCATTTGGTACAGGGTTTCACTCTGCAGCTCAGACTCGTAGTGATCCTTCTGTTTCAGCCTCCCTAGTGTTGGGATTACAGGCATGTACCACCACACCCAGTATTGGTGGCCTGGGTCAGGGTTGGCATGGCTTGTGGTGCCCAGGATCGAACCCAGGTCCCTGCACTTGCCTAGGCAGGCACTTAGACTACTAAGCTATCTCCTGGGCCCTACTTTTGTCTGCAATCAACTCCATCCTTGGTCTGATTGTGGGAAGCTACTGGTAAGAAGTAAGTGTCCCCCTCAGGTTGGTATGCATGGCCCTTGAACCTGAGAAGCTTCCCTGGGTGCTCAGGAGTGTGAGCCCAGGAAACATCCAGGACAGCCGGTATCTACCTGCAGCTGAGCCTCTGGGTATTGGCTTGCTGTAGACAAAGGGAAAATGTTCTGGTCTTGCTATCAGCCATCTGCAAGCAGGACACTGAACTCCCCCTCTGGTCACTGGGGCTTGAGAGCTGCAAGTGCCACATCAGTGAATGATGAATTTGCAGTGTGTGTGGAACCTCTCTCCCTAGGAAGAGACATCTTACCTGTGTGACATAACAGCTCCTTCTTGGGCTGGGGATGGAGCTCAGTGGCATAAGTGCCAGCTTGGCAAGTGCAAGATCCTGAGTTCGAGCCTCAGTATAGAAAAAAAAATCTTTTCCTTCTTCCCTTTCATGGCATTAAAAAACCAGTGACAGTGCAGGCACCAAAACACTTTGAGCTAAAAGGGAGAAGCTGTAGTGTATGAGACAAGGATCTGTAAAGGAGACATTTTATTTTATTTATTTTTATTTTTATTTTTTGTGGTACCAGAGGTTGAACTTAGGACCCTATGCTTGCCAGGCAGGCACTTATTCTACTGAGCTATCTCCCTGGCCCCTGTAAATGAGACATTTTAGGGCTGATCCATGTGGGTTAGTATTGTATTTCATGAACTGATAATTAATAGGGGAATTGACTTGAGATAGGTGCTTATTCAAAAATAGATACCAAATTAAAATACAAAATAAAACAGAAAAGGGGAATTTTAAGCCACTATAAATTCATTTTTCACCAACTCTTAATCCTTAATATTTGACACCCTTTATTCACATTTAGAAACTGAAGGTGCCTGGAATATAGCTCAGCAGCATAAGCACCTGCCTGGTAAGTGCAAGGTTCTCAGTTCAATCCCCAGTACAGGAAGAAAGAAAGAAAGAAAGAAAGAAAGAAAGAAAGAAAGAAAGAAAGAAAGAGAGAGAGAGAGAGAGAGAGAGAAAGAAAGAAAAAGAAAAATCAGTGATTTGGTGTAAAGTTGCACAGTAATAAAACCTTAATGTGATATATGGACTATTTAATGATTTATTGATTGATTGATTCTATGGCATTTACACTGATTTAGATATTTTTTTTTTATTTTAGAGAGTAAATGATAATAAAAACATCAGAAATGATACAGAATTTCAAAACCCAAGGTGATATGAACTCAGCAATGGTTGCTGTATTGCACATTGTTGTCTTCAAAGTAGTTGCCAGATTATCAGATATAAGCATGTAAAACGGGGCAAAATAAAAATATTAAGCATTAACTATTCCTTTCAATAAACCAACAGAAATGAGCAATACAATTTTCTTAGCTATCTTGTGTAGATATATATTTTTTCCCTTCCTTCTTCCTTTATTTTCTCTTTTCCTCATCCCAGATATTCTTTCCTTCCTAATTCAGCTTGTTTTCATAAAATAGATCCATTTTAATTCATTATTCATGTACTTAAGAATATGTGGCCTGATTTATTTATAACATATATGTGATGGTATGAGTCATCATATTTTTTTTCAATTAAAAATAGCAAGCTCTCCGCGATTACTCGCTGCATTCTGTGACTGTGCCATTCTGTTAAGGTGCAAATCATGTAGCCAGGAAGAAACGGACTCTCATTTTACAGTGATGGAACAGCAGGGGAAACTGTAGACTGAGGCTGAGCCTCGCCTCCGCGCCGTGCATCCTGTCCTGCCGTTCCCATGACCCTCTGCGGGCCTTGCTGCCTGAGCCCGGCGTGCTCATTTCTCCTCTGAGCGCAGACATCCAGAACTGAGGAAATGGAGCTTCACCAGAAGAGGAAGCACGTAGCTCTAAAGATAGTCAGAGCTTTGCTCAAGTTTATAACAGCCATCAGGAAATACTTTCTTCCATCATTACATTGTTGTTGATTACAATTAGGAAACTTATAGCTTTGAAATTATCTCTTTTATGACCTTGTGGCCGTTTAAAGGTGATAGCTCATTGATTAAATAGGTTTTAGTTCATGCTTCCTTTTACCTAATGATCTGAAAACATATTATGCTGATTTACACATAAAAATCATGCGGAAAACCATGTGGCATTCGCTGGAATATGTGTGTTTAAGTAGAATTAAATTAGTACTGAGAGTTATTAAAGAAATCTTCCATGCCTCTGTCCAGTGAACTGTGCTTCATACTGAAATAAATAACAAATGAACCGATTTACAGAAGAGAGCCAATTTATGGGCAGAGGCGCTTCCGCATGCTATTTACTTTTCCATCTTATTTGGATTGTTATCATTATTGCCATTTTCTTGATTTCAATCTTAGATGCCTTTTATGGCAAAGCTGAGTTCCTACTATCTTTCAATGCTAGATTCTGCAAGGTCTGTAATGAGAATATTTTTAGCTATGTTTGTTTCTCAGTATAGCTTTAAAACATATTAGTAGAAGGTCTAGGGGAAAAAATGCTACCTTCTTTCTTTGTCCTGTGTTTGCTACAAAATGTGGCCTGGAAAACCCCTTAGACCCTTCCAGTCTTGCCAAATCCATCTCATTTTTTAGGTTCATCGGAAAGGTATCCCTTGCCAACCCAGGCTGAGACATGGTCTTTCTCTACCCCACAATATGATCATGTGGTATGGAAATCGCTTGCTTAGTCTGATCACCACCACTGCTGGGAATCAGACCCTGCACTGCTGAGCCACTGCTTGTTCACGTTTTTATCTTCAGGGCCTATATGAAATCTGACATTCGGTAGGAGCATATGACTAATTGGTGAGAAAATAAATAAATAAACCAGTCAGGATAGTTTAACTGCTGGTAAGCTTATCATTGATGAGTCCTATCCAGGCTTTCTGTCCAGCTGAGCTAGACTATATTGTAGTCGGCTGCAAAAATCGAACGTTCTCCATACCATGTGGTCCAGTGTAAAAGCTATGGCCATATAGATTTAATTACAGCCCTGACTCCTAGGAGGGCGAGAGAACTGGGGGTAAGAAATGTTCTCCAGTTTCATAAGCTCCACACACTGATTTCTCCCCATATTGGTTGCTTTTGCTCAGCCAAACATGGATAAACAGTTCTAAGCTGATACAGGACTCTGCAAGAAGAAGTAAGGGGTCGTGCTGTAGGGAGTTTGACCAGGGTATGTCATCTCTTAGTTGGATAGATCCAAAATATCCCATTTGCTTAGAGCTAGGTCTGTTTTGCTAATGGCAAGGATACATAATTAAAAACATGATAAATGCATGTTATTTGAGGATAGGAATGAAAGCAAGCAAGACGATGCTACCAATTCCTCAGCACATACATGTACAGTGGAAAATCACAAGCAGTATACACTTATTCTAACATTTCATTTTAAATATTATGTGGGGAACTGCAGAAGAAATCTGTTTTCAGTACTGTAGCACATCCTCACCTACCCTTATGAACTCAAATTTCTGTGTTCCTGCAATGACTATATTTTTAGATTGTTTGTAATAGCATAATGCTTATATTTAGCACTGAGATACTCTGAGAGAGGAAGAATATATTTAAGCCTAGCTCTCAAATAGCATTATGGTACAGGTTCAAGAGTTCCAGGGAAGGAATTTAAAAAAAATAAAAACGGAATCCAAATGTTAATCCATAAATATGAAACTTTCCTATGGCCTTTACCCTTTCAAGATATGGAGTTACTAATGGGGTTAGGATTTCAGCGCTTAATGGCGCTCGGTGCATTAGTGTTTTGTATGCATGGAATTCAGCATTCAGTGTAATAAGTGGTTGACATTGGTGATGTCCCTTAATTTGCTTAAATCTAATTGGCTCTTTTATCAGTCAAGCCTGTATGGATTGGCAATTGATCAGGAAGGGCCAGCCATGACTCCGCATGTAGTTAAACGATGGAGCCACCAGTTGCAGGCCCTCCTGCATGATAATCAGTGCCAGAAGAGCAAATGGGCTTAGAAGGGGAAGGCCAAGGAGCTTAGAAGTTTTGCAGGATCTTCAAGTTCAGAACAAAGGCATTATCAAGTATATAAATTTTAAATACACTGCATTTTGCCTCCAGTCTTAAACCATTTTTTTTTCCAGATGAACTGAAATCTTGTCTGAAAC